GGAAAACAAACTAATGGGATGAACTTATACCCAATGAGGTTCCAAACAAGCATTCAAACAAAATACCAGTCAAATCACAAAAATATTGCATTTAATAATTTAACACACTTTGTACAATAATAAATAGTAATAAATAGTCTCAAGCCATTTAAGAAGCAATCATTCAATCATTTAAAAGATACGAGCTCACTTGGAACTATTCATGCATTCAATTATTCAGTCTCCTTCCATTTCTTCCTTATAACTTCTGATATTTGAAAACAAAAATCCCAACATTGATCATTTCATTCAGTCATTCAGTTAGTCATTTAGTTATTCATTCATTGCAATTCATTCACTAACTCGTACTCCACTTGACTTCATGGTTATATTCGAGTATACCAAAACAGTGGTTAGGGTTACTAACCTACCTGATCGATTCCGCTTCTAACTCGAATAGGCAAGTGATGAAGGGCAAAGGCCCAATTCGACCAATGACTTACATTCATGCACAAGTAACATTCAATCATGTAATCATTGAAAATTCATATTTACTTAAGTTGAGTGCGGTAAAGTACACACTCGCATGTCAATAGTAAAGTGATTTTTGAAATACATTTAATAGTCAAATAATAACCATACAATCAAGGCATTCAATTCATAAACACAAGGAACACTCACCACTTGATCTCAATGTTTCCACTTCAAACCCTGATTTGTCTTTTCAAGTCCTGTAGTCATATAAACTGTCAAGAGTCTATCCATTTAAAACCAAGATAAATGAGAAAATATGAGTTTGAAGTTTCACTTAATAAACACAAAATTATAGGTTTAACCCTAATATAACTTCTGAAAGAGCCATAATTTCTTATTCAAATCAAGTTCAAAGCAAGAAAAAATCACATGTCTATAGATCCATGTTTCAAGTATAATATGGAGCAAAAACATGTCGATTATAGCCAAGAATTTGAAGACAACAGGACAAGGTTTTCGAGACACAAAACTGAAAATTTCGAGCAAGAAAAACATGTTGGAGAAAACTCATTTTCCTTCTCTTGTCCTCTTTGTTTTGACTCAAATCCAACATACAGGTGAAGATTTAGGTTTAATAAAGTATCTTGAGCACAACCTTGCCAAAATCACCACAAAATTCTGGAAATCAAAATTGGAAATGGCCATTTTCTAGCCAGTCAACTCTAATAAAAATTATAGCTTTCCAACAAAAATTCTAACTATCAACCTTATTTTCTTGGCGAAGTTACTATCAATCAAGATATCATGTTATGACATATATGAACCATCTTCTTAATAAACAAACCCATCAAAATTTCACATATTCAAAATTCTAAATTAAACTAACTAGATTGTGCACCAAATTTGGAAATTGCACATAATTTTGACAAATCATGAAATCTTTTATAAAATCATGCCTTTTATCTTATAGAGTATCATCCATCAAATAGACAAGTGAAGAAAAATAAGTTTGCTATTAACTTTACCTCTTAAATCCCACAAAACAAATTTGGAAATCCACAACATAATCTGAAAATCATGAAATCCACTATACAAGTCCTTCATTTAACTTCTATAACATCATATATCAAATAAATTCAAAGATAAGAGAAGATTTCTAACAAAATTCACCTCTTTAACTCCAAAACCTTAGATAGACAGTCAAGCAAGGAGTACCCAAGGGTTTCTTCTTTTAAAACTTCTCCAATAGCTTCCTTCCAAGTTTGATTCAAAATTTGTCGGAGTAGACTAGGATTTTCTCTTGTTTTCTCTCACTAATCAAGCAAGAAATCAATACTTGAATTTAGAGTTGATTTTTCCCACTTTTCCCTTCAAGAATTTCGGCCAAGACAAGATAAAGAAGGAAGAAAGAGTGAAGAAAAAAAAGCTTATCTTGATCAAGGTCTTGGTCAAGTTTGGTTGGTTACTTGACAAATGGCAAGAAAAGAAGAGATATCTATCTCTTTGTCTTTCTATTTGTCTCTAATTCAGCCAAATATCTAGAGTTTTTTAATTAACTCTTAACACCTCATATCACATAGTTCCTTTTGCGCAAAACTCCTTATAATCCTCCAAATTTATTATACACACTTCACTAGTTGATCACACTAGTATACTGTACTATGAAACTTAACATGCACTAAGGTAAATAATAAAACAGGGGGAAAATCATGATACAACCATTAAAACAATTAAGAATTTAAGACAGATAAATTCAAATTAGAGCTATAAAAACAAGTAATATTTCAGGGTCTCACACCATTTATCTAAGGGGCACAAGAAATTAACTTTAATGTTCAGACTTCGGCTGTTGACTATTCATGAAAATCCCATCTAAAGATTACAAATGCCCACTCTGGAAGGAAAATTTGTTGCCACTTATATTTGGGGCTGAAAAGATTCAAGAATAGGAATTGTCATACAAAATACAAGAAATTGGATTGCCGGTTTCCGTCGAAAAATTACTTCGTTTTCCGTGATCACATTTCCCTATTATCTTTTTCCCTCACATACATCAAATCGCTACAGTTAAATTTTCCATGAAAAATTACGAAAAATGCAATCCAAATACAACGGTACATATTCTGCTAGAATCTCAAGTGTCAGTTTTAAAGTAACAAAAAAAAAACTACTTAAAGTACAAGAAAGTCCCAATGCTCAGTTGCTTTCTGAACCCCCGTTGGCATTGCCCATGCAGCCCATAAAAGTCAAGAACAATAACGGACTTGTCTCCGTTTTCTAATCGTTACAAAAGTAAAACCCCACAAACCCACTGCCGCCGTTAAATTTCAAATTATTGAAAAGATGTTGTCTCCCTAACGGCTATTCTTTCTTTCTTTTTTTTCTTTTTTTTTTGCCCTTTTCTCTTTCTCCTCCTCACCTATTTCAGAATCAAGAATGCCATACTCAAAAAACCCATCAAAATTTCCAAAATCTTTGCCAAGGAATCCGAAATCCATGGATCCAACACCTCCTTATCATCGATCTGACCCCAAAAGCAGAACCAAATCGGCCTCAAGACTCTCAAAACTCCGCTACTACAACGAGCAAAACGAAGTAACAACCCCAAATCTTTCTCTTGAAATTGTCCCTTCTTCACCAACTATGGCCTCTCCTTCACCTTCAAAGTCTCCTTACGGGCTTCCTCTTCACGAACTCCTACTTCTTTCGCCTTCTCCTCTAAGAAGATCGAAAACCCGTCTCGCGGATAGGCTTGAAATGGCTGATGATGCAGCAGCTGCCGAGGGAAATGGGGCTCGGAAGAGATTCAAGAATAGGAATGCTTCTCTCGGATTGCTGGCTCATGCTTCTCCGAGGAATAATAGGCGGTCAAGGAGACGGTTGGAGCAAGATATGAGGGAAGAGAAGGACTTTGGTGGTGGAGAAGATATGGTGGTGAAGCCAAGGAAGAAAAGGCATAGTGGTGGTAGGTCTAAGAAGGATAAGCTCAGTTTGGTCCCTTCAATTCCGTCACCAAGTATGTTCAGATTGTGTTGAAAATCTTGATATTTTTAAGTTATTTGTTGCTTTATGAATTATTCCTGCTTTTAAAAATTTTTGTTGGTTTATTGATTTTGTGCTTGTTTGATGTTTGATTTTATGATTAGAAACAAATGATGAGTATGAGTGTAATCTGGATGGGGTTAGGCAAGTGATAAGTGACTTGATTATGTGGAAAGATGTTGCAAAATCGAGCCTTTGGTTTGGTTTTGGTTCACTTTGCTTCGTCTCTTCTTGCTTTACAAGTGGCATCAACGTTAGGTACGTTCAACTTCTGCTCCAATAGTCAGATTTGATTAAAGATATATTAATTTTAACATTAATATGTGACAAGTTTACACGGTATTGTTTCAGCATTTTCTCAGTCATGTCTCAGCTGGGGCTTTTGTTTTTGGGATTGTCATTCTTCACAAACTCAGTCCGTCAAAGGTAGGTGATTTTCGTCTTTAATGCCTTGAAGACTCGGATCAATTTCTTCTCCTTTTTGTTTTCTTAGTTTTTGGTAACTTCATAGGGATGGTATTGGAAATAACCGTGAATTTAAGCTAAAGGATGAAGACATCTTAAGAGTAGGGAGATTGATACTTCCAGCTGCGAATCTAGCAATTTCAAAGACAAGGGAGCTGTTTTCAGGCGAGCCAGCAATGACCCTAAAGGTATCTGTGTGGTCTCGAGGCCATTTTGATAGTTTCAGCAGTTTAGCATTGTTCAGAAGTGTTAAACAGCTACGTGTCATGCGTTGCATTAGGTAGTACCATTCCTACTTCTTGGAGCTGAGTACGGCCATCTTTTAACTCTACGGAGACTATGTGCACTTGGTAAGATCACTCCTTAATGATAATATTAGCATTATAGAATTCATCTGATTACAAATTATGAGAGATTTGTTGCCTGGAAATGTGATTACCATTTTTATGATTTTGACAGGCTTCTTTATCAGCTTTACTTGTCCGAAGCTATACTCCTCTTACTCGGTTCAGATATGCAGAAAAGGTAGTACAAGTTACCCAAATTCCTACCTACAGTAACTATATTATTCCTTATTGATCACAGAAGATATTGTTCATTCGTAAAAACAGTTAATTATCTACAATCTTGGATGTTGGAGAGATGGAGAGCTTGCTCTCATAAGAAGGTTGTGGCAGCATCAGCGGTGACAGCTTTTTGGAATCTGACAAGCATCAGAATCCGAATCTTTGCAGGTAATCCTTTAACAGTTAACAAACTTCACCTCTCTAGGAGACTGAATGTTGTTATGTAGAATACTTCGTGGTTGCCCTGCTTACAAAATTGCTAAAGTGGCAATTAAATACTACAAATCATCTAACCTTTTTGTGGGAGGATGTTGGGGCATGCGTTGGTAATATGTACATAGAAGTGTTAGGAAAGCTTAAGCTGTAAAATTTGCACGTTGTTTTTAACATGTTTGTGATGATCTGTTGCAGCATTCATATGTCTAGTAATAGTTAGATACTCTAGGCAACATCAACATTTAGAAGCAAAGGTTGAAGAAGAGGTCGAAGCAGCCAAGGAACCTGAGCAGGAGGAGGAGCTACAGCGGGCGATGATTGTTGTAGAAAATGAGCCAAAGAAGTAATGGCTAAATCTGAGTACCTAAAGTCTTTGACTCTTTTCTACCCTTACTTTGCTTTCGAGCTGACCTGAAACTCTCTCCCCCAGTCCCCTCTTGTCCAGAAAGCTGACTTGTGTAGCATTGCAGTAGAGATGCCAACAAGTATTTGTAAACTTGATCGTATAAATAAGATAGTCTTGGCACTTCTGTTGTGTTCTATTTACACAATTAGCAACATTGTAGCATCTTTTATTTCTGCAATATACACATCTAGCTATAATCCTTAGTATTTTGAAATTCCACCTAGAGCAGTCTTTACTTTTAAATGTTATGGATTGCAATGAGATTTTTAAATGGATCAAATAGGTTGCTTAAAAATTGAAGTGAAGTTATTACCCCTTGATACTTGGAACTTATCTTCCCTCTTCAAAGCAAACTTTATAGTTTAGATGCTTTCAATTGCTAAATGACATTAGAGAAAATTTTGCATGGAATTTATTCAGGTGTGAAATGGTAATAGTTCTTCCAATAATCGACAATGTGCATTCATCCCTTAATAATTTCTAGCTATGTTTATGAATGGTCATTAATACTAATTCCATCCAAAATCTGCAATAAATTACTAAGCATTTTGGCACATGACACATTGTATGAGCCATATCAAATGTACTTTAAAAGGATATTAAACCATATCAAATGAGACAAGATGATGAGATTCAAAATGTGAGTTGAGATATAATATATTTTTGGGCCCTAAATTCAAAAGTTTTCAAAAGTGTTAAGGAACAAAATTTTGTAGAAGTTTGAAGGACTACAATAGCAATTATTCTGTCAAAGGGAGGCCCACCCTAAAACCCTACGATAAAGATTACTATTTTGGGATAATTTCAAAAATCTTTAACAATTTCACCTAATTCTCTTAAAGTTTCAAAGATTACACATACTTCCATGAGTTTACCATTTTGGTAACAAAAACCATTCAATGGTAAAAATTTTGAATGAATAATCCAAATATTCTCATGAAATTGTAAAGTTCATTTTACCTTCTTATAAAAATTCTTAAAAAAAAAAAAAAAATCAAACATGCATAAAATTTTAAACCTACTTTCAACCATCATCTTTACTATTTTAAACATTTCATATTTCCACATCTCAAATTAGTACCATTATAATCATGATCACCACCACCTATCAGTCTTTAAATTCTAAAACCTTAATCTAAGTTAAAAAAGAAAAAAAACAAATCAATATTATTAAACTCAAAACATTCTATAATATCTTATCCTTCAAATATTGGAACACCAACACTAACTCCATCCTTTTTAAAACTTCAACTTACATCTTTTTCTATTCATCTCTAAATTTTTCAAGTAAAGCTAAAACTAATTTGTAATATATTAAAATTGTGTTTAGAACGGTTTTTTCATGAGTGAATCTTGTTTTTATTCCCATTAAATGTCTAATTGTGTGATACATTCATATGCACAAGATTAGGAGTGGGTTGTTTAATTGCATGAAAAATATTAACATATTAAGGTTATTATGGTCATTTTATAGGGTTAAGGGAGGTAAGTGTAATATTCAAAATATTAAGGGTATTTGGTAAAATTGTTAGAAATCTGGGAGAGGTTTCTGAAATTATCCCTACTATTTTTTCCCATTTTCTTATTTATTTATCCAAATCACCTTATATATCAATTGACCAATTGTGTCAAATTAGGGTTAGGGTTTTATCGTTTACATAATGGCTACGGCGGCGAAACCAAATTCAACGGTGGCAACGACGACGGGTGCTAAGAGGAAACCCGTATTTGTTAAAGTGGAAGATCTCAAACCTGGCACCAATGGGCACACCTTAACCGTAAAGGTTGTTAGCGCCCAGGCCATCGTGAACAAGGGCCCTAACGCAGGCGGAGGCGGCAGATCGTCGTCGGCGCCGCTCAGCTCTCGTCCCCGCCCACGCATAGCTGAATGCCTTGTTGGTGATGAGACCGGAACCATTATTTTCACTGCCCGTAATGAGCAAAGTATAAAATCTGTTCCCTCTTTCTTTCCCTTTTTTTTCCATTTTCATTTGTTTTTTGGGTATTAAAAAAAATGAAGAAAACTTGGATAAAAGATGGTCTTTTGGTTGTTTGGTTTTCGAAAGTAGAGGAAAAGCGTTAGCAGTCAGGCACTTTAGGAAGAAAAATATTGAGATAAGGATTCAAACTAGGAACCTGAATGTTAAAAAAATTGAATTGCGAAATTGGGCATGCTTTTGTTTGCTGCTTTGATATTTGAGATTAAAGAGTTTTGAGTTTGTTTTAGGACAACTAAGCTTTTGTTCTTCTCCTAAAAAAAGAGGCTGTTTGAATGTGCATAGAGCTAGTAAAAACTGGGACAGAAGCACATTTGGTTGTGCATCAGTTGTATACTTGGCTAACGAAGCATGCCAATGTGATCTGATGTAAAATTGTGCTCGTAGCAATTGAGAAGAGCGAATGAGCTGTTTCATTGGCTATTCTGGTGGTAAAAATTGTAGTTAGGTCAACTGTGTCTACCTTTTTCATTTGCTGGAATTTATGGTCAACTTTTCTTATGCTTGTGCAACCTAATCGCTTTTTTCTCCATCTTGAAGTCTTGAGAAGGTTATGTGTTGTAGTGTTCATCAAGGATCCATGATTTATGTGGACCTCATAGTAGCACTTTATGTAACTTGTGAAATGGTTTTGACACTTCTGTATCTACTATTGTTATAAAAAGTCTAGTTTGAAATTTTCTCCCTTGTTGTGACACTTAAAATAGGTGTGCTGAAGTTTTAAGACATTCGATCCCTGAAGAAGTTTGTGGACTAATCCATAGAAAGGAAACTTTGTGCTGATACATGCTGAAACTCCATCTTCAAGGAGGGCTAGCATCATTAACAATGTGGCTAGTTGTATATTAGATTCACGAAACCCTAATAATCCATGCCTTTCACATTGGACGCATGATCTTATGCCCATTGTAGCAGGTGATGTGTATATGTATGGGCTAAAAGCATAACATTGTCTGTGGAGCACGAACTCTACTTAGCTTGTGCAATTCCAGGAGATACAGATCGGAAAACTTCCAGTTCTCTTCATAATAAGCAACTGATGCCCTCTTTTAAACATGGATGCATTGGTTTCTTAAGTGTTTAGGATATTACATTCTAAAAATTTGTCAGCATGTTCAGCTTGTGCTTCTGTTTCAGATTGATGTGTTTGTGTTTGCAAATCTCAAACTCTTGGTGACTCCACGATTCGTCAGAATGATTTTATGTTGGTTGTGTACTCAACTTGGAAGTAGGGGATGGGATGTTTGCAAGGCTTTGTTCTGTTATATGCACTGGCACATTTGTCTTGCCATTCTCATTTAGCTTCTAAATATTGATTTTTCCTATTTCACTTCTTGGGTGCAGTTGATATAATGATACCAGGCACCACTTTGATTCTTCGTAATGCAAAGATTGACATGTTCAAGGGGTCCATGCGGCTAGCAGTTGACAAATGGGGTCGTGTTGAAGTCACTGAACCAGCTAATTTTGTTGCCAAAGAAGACAACAATCTGTCTTTAGTTGAGTATGAATTAGTAAATGTTGTGGAAGAATAAGTTGTTTTCCGTGGAAGTGAATTGATTGAGGTAACTAGGAGGTTTTTGTCTTTTTCTTCATGTGAATTATGATCAGGGTGAACTAAATGTCTGTAATTTTTCGTTTAAATGAAATTATTTTGCATCATCACATGTGCCAGTACTTTGACTTCCTTCAAGGAGAAGTAAAGAGACTTTTCTTGTTGATATATCTTCCTGTTAACTCTCTGTCCTCATCTGTCTGGAAACTTTGGCATGTTGCTTAGTGTTTGGGGTGTACAAGTGATGGTCGTTCCTATCATGGCTTACGAAATCATAAGCCTTATTTGCTGATATCCTTGCCTGCATGAAGTGAAATTCCGTCTGAGCTCTGGATGGCTTTGGTTTTAGCTTCTTACAAGTAAACATTAAAAAAAAAAAAGTTTGTAGAGTTCCTTGTTTTAAATTTGGGCATTTTAAGGATCCTGGTCCTTTGCTGAACGTCAAACCAAAGTTTCCATTGTGGCAGTTCTTTTCTGTACAGAGGTTCTTTTCTATCGGTAGAAACTAGGACTTCAATAACAATTGCGGGAAGCTCATGTATGTCTTCCAGAAATATTTAGCTGCTGAAAAGCGTTGGAATGAAAGAGAAAGTACACTACTTTCAACTCCATATTCTCCTAGACCCCTGCCCACCAGTTGACCCTGGGTAGCTGTGCTTCATACACATTGAGGTTTATTGCATTTCAGGATATACAATCATCTGCCTCTGGCCAGCTATGCTTCATAAATATAAGGGCTAATCACCTTGATCAGGGATCTGCAATCAGAGAGAATAGCAGCAAGTTCGGGAGAATCACATGCATCTTAGTTTTGTTGAGGCGACACATTGAAATAAAGCTAAGAATTTCGCGGTCAATAGTGCCACAAACATACTGAAACAAAACTAGCGCCATAATAACCGTCCGTCGTTGCCCTGGGAAGCAGCAAATCAAGCTGACAGTTTTTATATAATTTGTAAGATGAAATTTATGAAACAAAAATCTTCACAAATTCCAAAAAAGGGTCCTCAAGAAAAGTTATTGGATGTGGTAGCACGATGTCCGTATTTTGAGCTTGGTTGAACGTTGAACCAGATCAGATGTTATTTCGCAGAATCTCCCAGCCAAAAGTTTTTAGTTTTAAAAAGGTTATGCCAACTAATTAGGCTTAATTTGCCTTCCTAACCCTTCCACTCCTTTGGAACAGAAAACAATTAACTCACCTTTACTTTGCAAAGCCAAACTAAAATGTGAGATTCATCATCTAGATTAAACAGGGTAGACCTAATATTAGGTGATAGAATAAAATCAGACGGCACCTCACAATCGGTCTGCCAGAGCGTTTCCAATCGATGAATAATATTTAACAAATGCAGTTAGAGAGCCAAAGAAGAGTTCAAGGAACTCAAGAAAATCCATTCTAAAGTTTGTCATTTGATCCCTCCGAGTCTTGATATCATCCGAAGCTCCAAATCTGCCTAGTTATCTGAAATAATTGAAATATGAGTGAGCGACGACCCCGGTTATCAAAAGGAATATACTAACATATGCACATTTCTTGGTTGGGGGTGAACAGGCAGTAGACGACTGGAACGTCACCCCACAGAGCACTCAGTTCTGGATGCAAATTAAGAGGGACTATCTATTTCAAACCCCATATAGACATCAAAATTGACGCCTATCAAGCAAAACAAAGATTGTAGATTTTAGCATATTGATAATGATCTAAATCAACATATTATTGTGCCACTAACCCCAACAGTAGTCTATTTACCATCAAGACACTTAAAATTGTCCTGTCAGAGGTCAATAAAGCCTTCATATCAGACAAAAAGTGACCAAATTTTTTTACCATCACATAGCGGTACATAGTTAAAAACAATATGAACATGAGGCACCAATAGTGGAAAGCTTATTATATTAGTAAATCTTATCATGCAATCAAATACGCAATAATTAACCAAAAACCAGCGATGACTCTTCTTACTCCACCATCACTCCTACATTCTAAATGATATAAGACCAGTATACTGAAGGGAAAGCACTGCAAGGAAAATGGCATATAGTTGGCATCTCATGGGGTCAATTACTCATATCACCCATTCACAAACCAAAGTCTGCAATGAAACAAAGCGGGCTTTAGTATCTTTGGAGGATAGTAGAAAATTGATCATACATTATAACTGCAAGCTGCTTGATACATGAGAAATCAAGAATATTGCCTTGATGACTTCATACAATGACGATGCTTGAAATGAATTAGAAAAGATAGAACAATAAATACATCTCACATCCATGTCAATTGGTGACATTTAGCATCTAATGGCAGAAATTGGAAGTCTAATCTAGAAGTCACCAAAAAGAAGCAATCTGTAGTTTTGGAAGGAATGACATCCAAAACAACTTTTCCGCAGCTCGTTGAAACCTCTACTTAGTGCCATTGAATGAGAATGTTGAGACTTGTTCATTATAATTTGCTTGAGCACTCCAAATACTCATCACACATCATCATTGCAAGCTGATTGCATAAGAATTACTTGTAAGTTCCAAAGCAACCCCATTTCTACTTAGATTATCTCACATCTACTAATGACGCTTTCATCTAACAAAAGTGCACAAAAAAAGACAATAAATCTGGTGTTTAAAACATCTGCAAATAGCTGCCATCTCAGACAAAAAGACATCAAAAAACCAGCTATATTGAATTTCAGACCATAATATAGTAATATTACATCATTAAGCTTCTCAGGGGATACCACATGTAAGCAGGTAAACTACCATTGTCAATCTACACAATCAAAAACTATGGTTATTTTATTCCACAAGGAAGCCTAAAGGTCTAGTCTATTGAAGGAATGTTTTCTAATTGAACTGAACTGATGGCTTTCAACGTAGACATATCCAAGTAATCTTCTTTGCTTTGCCATCTTCATTTAGTCTCGTCACAGCCTACAAGAGGAAAATGGAAGAATACACTTCTATATCAAATTACAAAATTAGGTAAAACGACATTTTGACTAACCTTTAACAGACGACAAAAGGAACAAAATTATGGATTGAGTAGCATTCTATAGTACGAAAAATAGTCAATTCAATCAACTAGCCTATGACAAGGAATTCTTCTCTCTCTGAATGAAACTCATATCTTAAAATTTGAATAGTCTGATGTTTTCCCAGTTTCTGCATGATGAGTTTTTATGCGTTAGATAACTTCTAGACAGCATCCTGGAACACGCTAACTTACCACAGGCAGAAATGGAGGGAAAGGACATTGAAGGAGGTTCCTAGAAGATGTTGCTAGATACCTATATCAAGGAGAAAAAGCTGATGGTTAGGGAACCTATTCAAGCAGAGATTGAAATGACTAAAAATATAAAATTCATCTTTCTTATTAGGTGGAAGTCCTTTATAGGAAAGGATGATTTGCTAAACAGAAGATCCTACTAAATAATATGGAATCATAATCCAGATAACAAGGCACCCTCCAGTGCTAATTGATCTTGGTTTTGCAAAAACAACAGCATAAACTAGTCCAATACACTTTAGGAGTAGAATGGAGAGTAATGAAGAACGAGTCCATCAACAGAATTAACCAAATTTTAATATATCAAAATCCTTTTTTGGGCAAGCAAGCTTTCACACTCGTCAAAAGAATCTCAAGTTCAATTTTGTGCTTTCGAGATATTGAAGATTCCTTTCGGCATCAAAACAATGTGCAAGGTCTTTGAAGTTACAGAAAGTGATACCCACTAAAATGTTTTTAAAGATCCTTATTCCAAGATTCCCTGAGTTCATCACGAATGTGCTAGAGTGAGCATTTGATTAGTTTCCAATGCAACTTGTAAGCCTATTTCCACTAAAGAAAACATAAGAAATATCAACCCAATATTTTCAAAAGCAATTGCACTCGTCTCACTTTCTTCCATCCTTCCCCTTGACAAGGAGGGAAAAAAAAGGAAATCCAGATCTATTTTTAAAAAATAAAAAATAAAGAATCCTAAAATCCCTTCAAGATTGTCCTTGCATTAAAAATGCGTTTACACCACATATCTTCCAAATCTACAAATTTACTCATAACATGTACCTTGTGTATTGCTTATTATCCGCAAGAGCTTATAGGTCAACCTTTAAACAAATAGATAAATACTGAAAGTTAAATTAATCGTCAACAGCAATACCATGTTAGTCATACAGAACACAGCACAATTAGAAAACTTACTCACTAGAACACCAAATAAACAAACCATGGCGAATATATATGTGACAAAATCCAAACTAAATCTTCCACGAGCCCAAAAAAAAAATCATACTTTGTCTAACGCACGATAACAAAAAAAAAAATTTGTACATGAACTTCTTAAACACAAAGCTAGTATGCTTACCAACAAAAAAATCGATACATTCGCCAGAATAATGACAAAACACATAAAAATAAGAAAATTATTCAACGAAAGTAAAACTCAAGAATTGTAATATACATATAGTTTCTACCTTCGGGAAGCCAACCGTAACCACAGCGAGAGACAGTCAGGAGGGAGGTCATCAAAGCCGAGGCGGTGGCGGTGTGGTACGGCTGAATCGACTCTATGCAAGCGCTCATTTCCACCGGAGACCTTTAAAAAATTTAATTAATTAAGTAAGTGATTAATTAACAAAACATTGATAGACATATGCAGATTAAGATTGCAATTTTCCGACTGAAATCTGTATATATCTGAAGGTATAATACCTGGAAATGCGATTAGAGAGGATGTTGGCTCGTGAAGGAAAGGTGAAGGCGGAACGAGAGGGCTTGGCTTGGGAAGCAAGTCGGGCGGCGGCAGTGCGGACAGGGGATGCTCGGAAAATGGATCTGGCTGCGGCACAAGTGGCGGAAATGGCCATTTTCTTTGTTTTTGCAAGTTTTTAGTGAGCAAGAGAAGTGACGAAGAATGGGGAGGAAGGCAAAGGGTTTAAGCAAATAAAAAGATATTGGGAAGATAAAAAGGTGTATTGGAAATTGTAAAGATGATGTAAGCAAATAAAATTGGGAAAATAAAATTGTTTGGATTGCTTCATATTTCCCCAATTTTATTTGCTTACATCATCTTTACAATTTCCAATACACCTTTTTATCTTTCCAATATCTTTTTATCTCACATACATCACGTCACAAAAAGTGCTACAGTAAAAATATCCCAAATAATCCCAAATAACTTACAATCCAAACAGTTTTACATTCCATTTTTTATTATTTACACTCTTACTGTTTGTTTTGTTACACAGTTTAATAAATAATAACTATCTAATTAAAATGATAGTAAGAATGTAATTAATAAAAATGAGAGTACAAATAACTTTTTCCTATAACAAAGGTAAACTATAACATAATTATGAATGTGCAAAATCGAAAAATTCTGATTTATCGATCGAATTTGAATTGAATTTGGAATTTTTGAAATCGGTAATTCGGGAATTCGGAATGGAAATCTATTTTTTCCGATTTTGAATTATGCAAAATCGATTCAAATTCGGTAATGAAGTTTTTGAAATCAGAAATCAAAATTGGTATTCGATTTCAAATTCGTTTTATAATATTTATATATATAATATATATTTTTTAATAATATATGTAATATAAAATTTATATTATATAACATAATAACAATACATCTAACAAAACAAAACTCCAAAAAGGACAAAAAGAGCAAAACCTAATTCTGTCTGAATTCGGTGAGAAGTTGTTTTACCAAAAATAGTAAATTATGAGAAGTTGTTTTAAAAAAAAGGGAAAAAAAAGAAAAAAAGGCTTCCAAATTCGGTGAAATTGGAATTTACCAAATTTCAAATTTAATTCGAAATCAGAATTGGTGAATTTGAAATTGAATTCGGTTGGTAAATCTAATGCCAAAATTTCGAAAAATTCCAAATTCAAACTTCTGATTTACCGATTTCAAATTCGTTGCACACCCCTAAACATAATAACAACAACAACAAATAGTCAAATATTGATAATACTGATAATGATAATCGGCGTAGTTGAATATAATCTAGATTAAAGTTTGCTCAGTTTGCTCTAACACCTCAAAAACTCTTTTAACTTTTTCTTTGGTTGAAAAAACTCATTTAAGGATATTTTTCAAGTAAAATAGATTGAAATATTACAATTCTCTATATCCAACTAGTTAAAAACTCATTTTTTGTTTAGCTTAACAAATATTTAAGTCAAGTTTCACAGGGGAGGGGGGAAGGAATATAATTGTGTAAATGAAAAATTTTAATTTTAAATCCTCTGACTTACACTGAAAAAAAAAGTTAGGTTTCTCAAGCAAAATTGATTAAAACTTCAAAACAAGTTGGTATTCATGGAAAGTGAACAAAAAAAAAAAAGAAAGAAAGAAAGAAAAGAGAAGGGAGGATTGGGGAAGGGAGCGGGTTTGGGGAAATTTTTGTACGCAACTCATTGGAAACTCGTATCCTTTTCATTCCGCTGGAATAATAATCAGGCCAAATTGAACCATCACGATTAAAAGCTCATTGGCTCCAATAAGGCGAAGCTGTGATGATTGGAATTTTATTACTTGTATGTTTTGACCTAACTGAAAATCTCAAAATATGAATATTTCACCAATTGGTGTGATATAATCTATGTTATTGGATTTTGAAGACCAGATCTACCCAAGTTTTGACCTATTTCATTTGCTACAGATAGAACTCAAATTACATTAGTAGCTCTATTTTGTTTTGATTGTCGCAGTTTGAATATTGAATTACTACAATCATCTGTTTTGAGCAAATTGTTACAATCTTCGATTGAGAAGTACAATGTAAGACCAACAAATTCAACATTTAATTAGATATCGGAAAAAGTAAAAATTGAGCCGGTAGGAAGAACTACAACAACTAAAGAAGTTTGCAAGTCATATGCCACATTGCAACTGATAATTTTTAAGTTCAAAAACAGTCAATCATTCCTCTTAAATATGTAGCAACTTCGTGAACTGATGAATTCTAGCTGAGGATATGCACAAGCACAGATCCAAGTTGCTGCTTGGAAGAGAGATCACTCAACATCTTGAAAAATAGTGTTACAAAGTCAACAGGAATTCGAGGAAATTCATGCGACAGCTGGCCAAATGATCCCTCCAAGTCTTGTTTCAGCAAAGCACCAAAACAGCCTACTTATCTGTAATAATCAACAATAAGTAAGACAAAAATCCCTGTTCCTGAAAGCATGTCTAATGGGATGTTTTGTGTGTACCAGATGAAGTACACTGTGCTAGGAGTTAACAGGAGAGTATGCAGCTACACAGAGCACCACTGCCATTGCAAACTAGTCAAGGCAGTAAGAAACCCCACCTCACCACAAGATGAAAACAGATGCGGAATTCGATCACCATTTGGTGTGTGTGTGGGGGGGGGGGGGATCACTAGGGAAGAATCAAGATTTCACCACATAGATTGTCATTTAATACCAAAACCAACCAAACTATATAAGAGACACTATTTATCATCATGAAACTTCTAATTGTCAATCCAAATGTCAATATATCCTCTGCCAGTCACATATGTAACAGCCACCTTGACCCTTGACCAATTTAAGGCATAACTCGTCAATAATCTATTGTAAAGCTCGCGTATGTTTAATACATGCTTATGTGCAAGAAACATATAATTACTCCTTTAACCAATGCTGCATCTAAATGGATAAAGGCCAGTAGAAGCAGAGGGAAAAAACACTAGATAACATATAACTGGCATCTCTCATTAGGTGATTTGCCATCACCCATCCAGAAGCCAGAGATTGTGATGAAGAAGCTTTTCTTGAATGCCTTGCAGGATAGAAGAACACTGATCATACATCATCGTTGCAAGCTGGTTGATACATGAAAATCAGTATATTGTCTTGATGAACTTGTTACAAAGATGACTAAAGGAAAAAGCACTTCTTAAAAAGCTGTTAAAGGAAAAAGTAATCGACATTAGCTGTCAAAACAATTTGTATTAGTGCCAATAGGAAGTGCTCATCTAGAAAGTCAGGAAATCGGACATATATCTCAAGTCACCATAGAAGAGTAGGAACTAGTAAGGTAATTGGAAGAAATAGGCATCAAGTGTGTCTCTTCAGCAGCTCAGCCCAACCTCTTTAACTTAATGCCATTGAAGGAGGATGCAGAAATTTGTTCATTACAATTTGCTCGACCTCTCCACTTATTTATCACATATCATCAGTGCAAGCTGATTGAATGAAAATTATTATAAGTTCCAGGGCTAATTGATTTTCACTTTGATTATCTCACATCAATCACTATTACATCCATATAATAAAACTCTGAAAGCAACCTCCACAAGACATAAAAGAGAGAGACAAATAAATCATGGTATTGTGCAACACCCGCAAAATTTACGAGCTTGACAGAAGGGGATCAGCAGATCAGATATACATGAGTTTCACACTCAAGATCAAGCAACAGCTATGATAAAATAGATAATTATGTTTTCCAATAAATCTCAAACTATCAATTAACACCCGTCAAAAGTATTGATGTTATTTCAATCCCTGAAAGGAAACCTAAAGGACTAGCATATTTAAGCAACTAGTTTTGTTGAAAACAAAATGATGGCTTTTGAAATGTAAACCAAAATCCAAGTCATCCTCTTTGCTTCTCCATCTTCATCTAGTCTTGTCATAGCCTACAACAGGAAAAATGAAGGATGCACTTCTTTGTCAACTTACTAAAATTAGGTAAAGCTGATAACCGACTAACCTAGCATGCAACAAAAAGGAGCAGAAAACTGCAATTGGGAGCAAAACTACACAATGAATTGTTTAAGGGCATACTGGACAAGGAAGAGCTTTCAAGGCATTGGATCAATTATTGGCATCCATTTTTCTCTCTCACACACACAGGGATGGAGGAGGTGAAGTTGGACCGTTGATTGGTTAAACGTTGTCAAGTAGATAGGATATTCTAAACAAGTGTGATCAACCAAGAACCCCAGAATTTAAGTTACATGTGATTTCAAAAACCTTAGGTTCCCAAATCTTCAGGTGTATATATAACAAGGTCTAAATTATGCATAGGATATATTAAAGAAGAAAAAAGGGATCCAGCACCAAGCGAACTTACCAGAAATCAAAATCAAGGAAAAAGACATAAAGGAGGATCCTAGAAGATGTTGCTAGAAACCTAAATCAAGAAAGACAACCCGTTTGTTAGGAAATTTATGCAGAGATGATGAGCTGAAGGAAAATGTAAATTTTAAATAGAAGGGAAACCAATCTCTAGGTGCACATCAGTGATGGGAAAAGAAGAATAGGTAAGCAGAAGAAAGCAATGACTAAGATGGAAAAAGAAATGGTATCGGTATGCGAAAGCAACAGGAAAACAGCTCTTAGAACCAGATTTAGGTATAGAATAGAGTATTACGATGATACACAATTCATAGAAGGACACTGAACAAAAATATTCCAAATGCTTTTCAGGTGTATCCTAATAAAACATCTCTATAGTTATTCATGACACCATTGTCCAAATTCAACTCAAAGGGTTAAACATATGGTCTAAAGATATTAGAGAGAGCCCTCTCACGACAAACCAACATCCAACATTGTAAGTTTTAGCACTTACAGAAAGGAGAATATTCTTAAGAGGCTTGTACCATCAAAGGTAGAAGCCAAATGTGAAACAGATTAAAAATTCATACAAACAAAAACTAACTGATTAAACAGAAAAGTCGTCAGTAAGGGAGTATCTATCATCTTTGCAGATATCATTCTTCTACCCACAAGCCAAAAGAAAAACAGTGGATCAGAACACAAAGGTGAGTCCTGAATTCAGAGTACACGCAGCCACTCACACCAAACACAAGTTTATCCCGCATATCTGTCAGATGCTATCGAAATTACTTAACTTACAATCACATACACCTTCTTGTACCAAAAATTATTCCACATTTTCACTCAAAAGCAGAAATCCACCTTGGTGTGAAGAACATATAATGATACATATCACAATTCAGCAATTATTTCACCAGAATAAACCAAGCAAAAATCGAAACTTGTTCTAAGATTGAAGTAATGCGAAAATCACATAAAATTAGCACAAACAGGAAATGTAACAAAATGCATAAATATAGACCTTCAGGAAGCCAAGCGTAGCTGCAACGAGAGACGGTGAGCAGCGAAGTCATCAAAGCCGATGCAGTGGCGGTGTGGTATGGCTGAATCGACTCTACACAAGCACTCATTTCCACCGGTGACCTTCAATTTATTCAATTAAATCAATTAACTACGAACAAAACACACAAAAGAAAATTTAAAAATAAAAATAAAAGAAGCTTTTCCAACTGAAAATTGTGCATGTACTGAAAAGCAGTACCCGAAAACTCGATGAGACAGGGGGGTACGTGAAGGCGAAGAGAAGGGGGAACGAGATGGCTTGGCTTTGGAGGTGACACGAGCGGCGGCATTGCGGACTGAAGATGATCGGAAAATGGATCTGGCCGCTGCAGATGCGGCAGAGATTGCCATTTGTTCTTGGTCGGTTGAGAGTAAAATTTCAGAGAAGAAATGGAAAGCGGAGGGGGGTTTATCCTGCCGAGAGGGTTTCAGTGAATAATAGTTAAAGCCCGATAGGGTTTATCCGGGTCGTTAATGAGGTTTAGCAACACACTACTAGGTCAACATTATTCTTATGTTTGCCAAACACTCCACAATGGTGAATTTTATGGAATACTTTCTCCGTCCCATTATTAATCTCATGCTTTTCATGTATCTCATGATAAGAGTCATTTCAAATTTAATACATGTCTTTCAATCTCGTCATTTGAAAAAAAAAACTTTTAAAATTTCAGTGCATATTTAATAAGAAAATATTTTTAATTCGAAAGATATATATATATATATATATGTATATGTAAATTCACTAATGTCACCGGATTAAAAAAATTTGATTTCTAAATCAAAACTCTAATGTTGAGGCAGGGAAAATATGAGTTTATACTATTAATTCTAAATAAACAATTCGATCATGTACAATAAATATCAACTTCTTGATTTAGATTTCAATCTTTTAGCTGTTAAATTGTATTACTTTCTTTTGAGCAATTTTAAAATGTATTAATCTTAAAGTTAAAATGTTATTCCTTACTATATTATGCAAATTGAAAAGGCAATACTCAAATGAGAGTCAAAATGAAAAGGGTAAATACCCAATGGTTTGTTTAGATAGCGGCTTATTTGCAAAATTTTATTTACTTACATCATCAACACATTTTTTAACCACTTTTTTTCATATATATCATATTAAAAAAGTGCTCCAATATTTTTTTCAAAAAATCATCTCAAATAATTTACTATCCAACAGTATTTGCCATCCAAACACGCTCGATTCGATTCATGCACATAATATAACGCAAGAGATGGATAATCTGAAGGCTAGAGATAACTAATAGTTTAACTGATGTGAAGACTGCCACATAGCCTTGTTCTTGCTTGGTTTAGATTTTACAAAATCTGATCATGAAAACTGATTATAATCAATCAGAATCAACAAAAGCTACTATTTGGATAGTTATGAATTTTAACATTTTTTTTATCATTAAAAAATCTATAATTAAAATACAAATCGAGAACATTACAAAAACTATCTATAATCAATTAAAATAATGAACTAAGTCCTATGTCTCACAGCTTTTTCCATTAAAATTATATTCAACTATCCTTGTACCATGCACAAAATGCATGATGCATAGTCAATTAGACAAATTACCAATGATGGTTAAGCTACAACCGATATTCCCTAAATTTGTTCTCATTCAAACAATAAAAAAATGCTTCCACAATTGTTAATACGAAAGGGCAATTAGACTAATGCAGGTGAATACAATGCAGACTACCAAAATTGGGGCGGCCACAAAACAGCCATTGCTTTGCCTTTGATGCGAATGACAAAAACAGTTGTAACATCAAAATCCTATTTCAATGCTTGACATTCAACTTATAAAGATCATAAATTCCGGCCGAGAGAGAATATGAACATGCATCAGATCCAAGCAGCTGCATGGATTGGAGCTCATTCAACTTCCTGAAGAATTCTTTTCTTGCGGAAGGCCTCTTTGAGCCTGCTTCCGGGTGCACTGTGAGCTCTCCTCCTCTCTTCTTTCCTTCTTGCAGCGTCAGCCATAATACGTCTGAGAGAGGCTGCCTTATATATTGGTTTTGGCAAGTGCCTGTGCCTGTGACACCATAACCACGAAGTGCTGATTAATCATCTCCTGCCTTTTCGGAGTCTCATCATTTTCTCGGAAAATAAGATTTAAACAAAGAAATGACTGGGTAAGAAACTAGGACATTTTGATTACTGTATATTCGGTGAACGCTCTTTAGGAATGTTAGGCAATATAAAAAAGGACCTCAGCAGCATTAGTGTCCTCATTTTCAGAGATGGGGGATTTTCAGTTAAAGGATAGGACAAGAATACAAGAGTTATTTCAGAACCTTTTTGTGTTTAAAAGCCGGTTTTAGATTGTGCTTTAATGAAAGAAACCAGCAAAAGCACAATCAAGGGTAAATATCCTATTTCTAGTGTGTCTCTGACATACCTGACAATACGTTTAACTTCAGGAAGGTGCTTGTAACGATTCTTGACAGCCTCCAGATACTCGTGTTTCTTACGTTCTCTCGGTAAAAGCTGCATAACATGAAAGGATCTTCTCAGCATGAAGTCATAATTTTATAAAGATATATAAATTCGTTTGCACATAATGGATAGCACTGACAAACCAACAAAACCATTGAACTAGCATAGTGCAGATTTTAAGCTGAGAATGCATTTGTACAACCACCCTTTACATGATACCACAAGAAGAAGATAATAAAGCATACTTTTCCTTCTATTCATTCATTCCATGCTTTCCCCAGTTCCCCTTTGCTTCTCCAAGTACAATAAAAGGCCAACACTAAAATGACACTCGACCCAAATTATAATGAAGGTCGCCAAAATATCCGCCATCAGCAAAAGAAGTAGAGATCACAAGCTAACTTGACCGCTACCTTCTGTTGTGAGAGATATTTTCTTAAACGTTCATTAGTTATCCAGTTACACTAATTTTCATTTAAAACTCCAAAAACTTCTCCGGCAATAAAGAAACAGGACTGAGCAAGCAAAGAGTATGAGACAACAGAACGAAAGGTAGCTATGATCTTTCTGTCTGGAAATACTAGGGAAAAAGTCAAGGCCCTCAACACCACTAATGACTAGATGAAAAGCTACTTTCCAACGCAAAAGCATCTTTCAACAAATGAAATTATCAGCACAAAGTAAAAGATATTCATAGAAGAAGGAGGTTCATACAACTCCCAATTGCTCGGATGCCTTAGCTTTCCAAAGTCGAAGGTTGGTGTCATCACTGCCTGAAATAACATAGCTTGCATCACAACTGAACTTGACGCAAAATACCCTACATCATTGAGAGATTCAAGTTAGTAATGATTGAATCATCATCGAATACAACTCAAACAATATATAACTCCAACAGAAAACAGATAAGAGGTAAAAGGCACATTGATATGGACTCTCAGGTTAGATTAATCGAAAAAGCGAAAGAGAAATAGAGGGCCAAACGGGGAAGACAAAGACCTTTGCATTCTTTTAGTATGATAGATTTCCCTGCTGTGGCCACCATTATACTGGAATATTCTCACCTATAAAGTGAAACACAACTAAAACATCATACCTTGATCCACATTGGAATTATCACATATTCAAAATGATTAAAGTGGAGAGTTTAATTCAATCAATGACGGACAACTCACTGTTCTATCATAAGATCCAGTAACAAATTCCCGACCAGTTGGTGAGTAATCAATATCCATACTGCAAAGAAGTCAAGAGGCACTCAGATAAAAGCCTCAGGCTAGATAATGTCATGTACCATTGTTTCTAGAATGACAAACTGCATTCTTACACTGCAGAAACATGATCTTGATGCACACACTTGGCCTCATCCAATTTTCTAGCATCATAGCTGTAGCAGTTGCAATCTTCATTTGCCTGAATCGGTGTAAGAAGTCAATCACAATATAACAATGCAAAAGGCAGAAAACATGTATCTGTGGAAAGACCCGGATATTAAAAAATGGTGCTACACTATAATTAAAAATCAGACTGTTTAACCACTGAACAAGTTTTGAAGCTCATCAAACCAGAAAAGTTTTTAATAACTCCAAAATCTGAATTACAATATATGTCTCAGGTTGGGTATTCTTTTTTTTTTTTTTTTCTACTCAGGGGGTATTCAAAGAGTCAAGTTTCTAACTTAAGTAGATTCAGACCACAAAATCAAAACAAGATTCACTGTCCACACTAGATAATCAATTGAAAATGCTATGTCGAGATACCACTAACCAGACAACTTGCATGTTGTAACAATAAATTAGAAACCAAATAAGAAAGGAACAGCTTAATTGCTTGTCCTTACAGCTGTGAAATTCATTGGCTCCATGGGATTCCATGATATAGAATTAGTTTTTGTCTGTAACAACAACAAAAAACAAATGAGCCTTTAGAAAGAAGTCACAAGATTTCAATAAGGATAAACAGAAACTTTGAAAAATAATCATAATAAAATCTAAAGAAGCAAAACTCTAGTTCAACACTCCAGAGAGATGTTGGCAAATTAGTGCAAGGGCAAGAGGGTAGTAATTCACCCACAGCATCAACAGTTCAACAACAGTAAATATTGAGGCAGAATTTCTTTTACCAGGATATGATCCACCTAGCCAAACCATAATAGGATAACCAATAAAACCGAAAAGGTATGAAATGTTGGGGAGTCATCTTAATATTTAGAGTTTGGATGGCTGAGGAATGACCAATTAATGGTTCCGAAAGGGAATAATAATTAGGAAAGACAGCTATAAAATGGTTCTTCTGTACATTATAAATCTCAAAGCACTGAAATTTAATAGAATACTTTACCCTCATTACAACCCTTCTTGCCGGGGATGACATCCGTAGATCGTATATTGTTATGCTTCGGTCACTGCAGATCAAGTAAACAGATTTCTTTTCTTTAAAGAAGGTAGTTCCAAATAAAGAGCTAAATGCAGCAAACAATCTGAATCAATTATAACAACCATCAAATTCAAAATGGTTATCAAAATAAGACAAAAAAATGGTAGTGCTACAAGCTCCCATGGAAGTATAAGCTATTCAGTGGTAGACTTTAGCGCCTAAACAATTTCAAAGTATAATCTTCTTCGGTTTACCAGGAAGGCTGTGAATCTTCACATAATAATCAATTACTGGGGAAACAAAGTAATAATAGACAGGACAGGTTTTTCTTGCAGCAGCCCATCAAAACCAAACCTTTCAGAATTATTTTTCACTTAGAAGATAACACTTCATCTGATTGAACTAAAATTTCAAAACTGGCAGGGTGCTAGTGCAAATTTCAACTATCAAGACAACATGACAAGTTTACCAACAGTCAGCATGAACACACTCCAACACGACAAGAAAACTATATCAGAATGGGCAGGATATGAACAAGAATTGGCACCATCTTTTCTGATAAACAACTTTAATTCTCGAATTGCATCAAAAGAAAAGGACTCACTAACATAACAAAAGAAAAAGAAAAATGACACAAGAAGTTTTACAGCAGTCAGCATGAAAAAATTTCCACACCAAAAAGGATACAACAGTGGAAGGGGCAGGTGCTACGATGAACAAGAATCAGTATCGTATATGCTAATAAACAACCTTAATTCTACAACTCAACCAAAAGAAAAAAACTGACAAACATAAGAGAAAAATTATATAGTAATACAATTCCTTAAAACTAAATATGATTCAACAGTAATTTTAGTGCAAACCTGGCTGATGTTGCAAGTACATTAGGTTCTCCAGGATTAAACCGAGCAGATACAACTGTATCTTTTCCCCATTCAAAACTGTTCACTGGCTGGGACCTGTTTGAACGTACTCATGAATTTAGCTTTCATTAAATAGAGTGGGCAAACAGAAGAATGAATTTCACAGCTTGCCTGTCATGGTCCCAAATATCAACCTGAGCACCAGCTGTGGCAAAGAGGTTACCATCCCATTGATGATCAACAGCCCTGAAATGTGGCGCCAATAACAAAGTTCTACTAAATCATCATAGTGACGAGAATTGTCAGAATGCATCTGTAAGGCAGTAACAAAGCAAATTTACCAGAATGCATTCTTCCACACGTAAACTGCTAGAGGCTGGAAAGAACGAAAAGGGCCACTTGTTAAGATTTAAAACCAAACACAACAACATCAAATAGTAGTGAGGCACAGAAAAACAAGAATCGAGAAGCACTGACCTCGGATGAGTTATGAGATGATTCTTCTGACTCCATAACAGTAGCAACAGGCACTCTCCAAAGCCGCACCCTGAAGAAAAGTTTAAACCAGAAATAATATGTTAATTAACCTATTGTACAATCAGATTTTGAATATAACTCGTACAAAGAACAATGTCTTACGTGCAATCAGTTCCACATGATACCAGAACACGACCATCAGTAGATGCTGTTAAACCACGTACTGCCCCTTGGTGTCCAGAAAATTGGCAAACAGTTCGTCTGTTACCCCATGAAAGAGAACAAAAATGCTAAGTAATATTTCAATAGACATTCTGCAGGTCATGAAGAAGAAAAATTCCAACAGACACCCAGAGAGACCTCCACACCAATATGGAAAACTTGAGAACAAGCGAGGACAACATAATTATTTCCAGGAAAAATGAAAAGAGCTGCTCAATGAAGCTCTTAATTCAGCCAACATAATTGTACAATTGACAGATGGCTGACAACTATGGGAATAATACATGCAGAATGAGCAAAAGAAAGCAAGTTAACATTTCCCTTTCCCCATATAAGCCCCAAAATCGCCACACACTGTATGAAGTCTAGATAACTATATTAAGCCTGTTGTAATAAACCATGATAGATAATAGCTGGAAACAATAGAGGTGGTAAATGAAAGAAAGAACACGCTGTCAAGCCAAAACTAGCTCCTCTTGCACAAACCCAACAGACATGCATGCATACATCAACAAACATTAATGTAAAAAATGCAAGAAAAGACGAGACATGCTTCTCGAGTTGTAAAGCGTCAACAGAACTAAAGTAAGAACAGAGAATCATCCTAAATAACAAAAGCAACCTTACCCAGTCTAGTCAGTCAGAAATATTACCTCGTAGCCAAATCCCAAAGGCGTATATCTGCAGAGGCATAACAAAGAACCATATGTCAACAATCACTCAATCCAACAGCTTATCAGCTAACTTAATTTTTGTTTCCCTCAACAAAATCTTTTGTTAATTAACAATTACACCCCATCCAGGAAAACACTTCTGCACCAATGGCACATCCCATTTTGTATTTAATGCATTTTAATTGCCACGATATTTGAAATGAAGAAAAGGGGTGGCCACGAGAAAAACTGCATAATTATACCTCCATCCATAGAACCCGAAAAAATCCCTTTTAAGTGATTCGGGTTTTTCGCCATACATGACACTGTATCAATATGCCCATCCATTGCTCCAATAAAGGGCCTCGCAAATATCTTTCAACGGAAAATGATCAGCCAAAAACAAAAAATGAAATTGAGAAAGCCAACAAACTAGCTGAAAAAATCAAATTTGAAAAAAAACACAAACTTGAAACCAAAAACCAGAAAATTGAGCTACTTTATACCTTTTCAAGTTTAGCTGCATTGAGGGCACGGACATACTCAGTTGCTTTCTCTTGGGTTCGAAGATTGGGATCAAAATTCCGGAAAACCCTCTAATCAGAATCAATACATACACAAATTTAAGAAAGCCAGCTGAAACAGCATCCTCATTCTCTCCAGTGAGATAAATAAAGTTTGGGATTGGGATCCTGGTGATTACCTGGAGGTCCTGGCTTCTTTCGCGGGTGAATTCATCTGTGGAACGCGATATCACTTTCACCTTCATTGTAGAATTATTCCAATCCAATAATTGATGAATGGATTGAACAGAGAAACCGCGGGACTATAGCAGCTTAAACCCTACACCCAACTTGAAAGTCTCAACCTGGGAATTTAAGGTCGCCCAGTATCGGTCCACATAGGGAGTTAATTTCACTTTGAGCCCTCAAAAATAAAAAACTTCAATTTTGGCTCTCCAAATGAGAAAATTGTATTACAACCCGAAAATATTTTATCTCAGCTACATTACTAATTTTTAGTAACAATCACTAATTCCATATCTAACAAAGAAGTGAAAAAGTATAATAGTTCATGTCTAATTCCTTTCTTAATTGTGGAACTTGTCATTATAATTATTGTTACATTTTTGTTAATTCATGTTTAGTTCCCTTCTCAAAAATGAACTTTTCATTACATTTTAATGATTGCATTACTAGATACAAATCCATATTTTGTATTACTCATTTTACTAATTTGTTTTTGTTGGTATCTCTCAAAAGTTTCTATTTTATTTTCCAATGTCCTCCACCTCTCCAAGGTTTTTTTTTTTTTTTTCTATGTTATGTCTTACAAAATCCTCCCTACCATTTGCCAATAAAAGTGAAAACAATGCGTTGGTTTGCCAAAAAATAGAGAAATAAAAAAAGAAAGAGATTATGAGTTGTTTCCTTCAAATACTTCAAAATTTTATTAGATATATAATGTGTTCCCTTCACATTTTAAGTTGCCAAACTTATTTCATTTACCACCAATTTTCATTTCAATTTTTTAAATGTGAGTTCGACGTGGCTCGTGATTTTTGTCCAGATTTTTTAATCTGATATTAAATCTTAATTCTTGGGACATCAACTCTAATGTTGATTTCTAATTTCCATTTATAACCTAAACAAGAAAAACAACATAATTAAAAAGAAGAACAAATTGCATGTATACATGTACACAACAACTAATGGCATCAATCACGCTTTTTTCTTAGGCTCTCGTGACTTTTCCCAAAAATCTAGTCGAATGTTATTCTCCTAATACTCCTCCAAAATTTCTCAAAATTTTTCGTTTGCATAACCAACAAATTTTTTTCCAAATAACATGTTTCTTGCATTACAAACACATTTTTAAATATTTTTTTATTTTTCGACCATTTTTTATTTCACATATATCACATTTAAAAAATTATAATAATTATTTTAAATAATACTTTATCCAAACACACTCAAACAAGGTGTTGTGAATTTTTAGGCCAAATTTTGTGGTAGCAACTGCAAACCTCCAAAGCAACTGCAAAATACTCCACACACAAAACTTCGGTCCTCCCAATACACCATGATATAGAGTAAGTAACAGCATGCAATCTCATTTTTTTTTCAGAAGAAAAACAACAATTGACAAGTACAAACATAGAATCTTGAGAATTATTTGGGGAAACTTTTTCTTTATCTATTGTAGTACAATTTTTTTTTTTTGGTGTGGTGGGAATTGGGAAAATGGTTTAGTAATTTGGTCTGTTGATTTTAAGAGAATGATGATTTTTTTTTTTATTGGTACAGAAATTAATGTTCGATAATTTTCATGTTCTTGATTTATGTGTAATAGTATTATATCCCTTAAATATTTTTTTTAACTTTAATTACTAATTCCCCATCTACAAACAAGCTACATAAAAGAGCATGGACTGAAGTGCCATGAAGAAAAAAAAAATATAGGAGTACTTAATTGTAATTTACAATTACAAGCATTCCAGTGAGGTTTCAGTATGTTATAGTAATTTATTTCGATTAAGCCCTCTTTGAGGTTCTTCTTTTATGGTATATTTTTTACTGTGATAATTTGTCAAGAAAAAACCAAAAAAAAAAACAAAAAAAAAAAGTAAATTCCAAATAGAAAACTATCAGTCTCACCAAAAACTAATCCCTTTAGCAACATAAGTAGTATAACGCAGAAGAATTAATTACACTTAATCCCCTTTTCTTCTTCTTTTATGTTTCTAATCATCAACAAAATTAAAATCCACAAATCTTTTCCCTTCTATCATGTGACATGAAGATGGATGATAAAATTGACATAGAAATGTACGAGTAAAAGATGAATCTGTCGTATGGTGGATTTTCAGTAAATATGGAATATGGAAAACCAAATCCAATGCAAACCCCGGATTTCATCAAAACTTGATGGCTGGCTACTACAATTTCATCAAAACTTCTCCCTCTCCTTTCTGTACCAAGCATCTTCGTCTCCAACGTAGAAGAAGCAGTGAAGCTTCTGCTCTTCCTAGCAGGCAGTTTTATTATTGGAGATTTTGTTCTAAACTTTTTGAAGTTTTTGGCCTTCACAACTTTGTCTTTGTTTGTTATAGCAACAGCATATGGTATCCTCTTCATGATCAAATTAATACGTGCATTAGGGGAGACAATCGATCAGTTGAGGGACGAGAAGGATGGGAGAAGGTTGCAACAATTGAGAAAGTTGATGAAACAGAATCCATTTCATCTGGTTGGTCCTCAAATAAAGACCAATTCTAAAGAAGATACTTATTTGTAATAAGAGAAAGCAAAGAAAACTCTCACAAGAAAAATTTGCTGGGCTTGTTCGAAATCTATCTATATTTAAAGAAGCAATTACTCAGTAGGAGCTATATTTAATCATTTACGTTGTAATTCTTCAACTACTGAAGATTGGAGGCCAATTTTGGGCAGCTAAAATATAGAAGCCTTCATTCAGTTGGAGAAGTTCCAAAACACGGCAACAACAGTCGAAATTAAATAGTCCTACTGGTAAGCTTCTTGAACCTCTCATACTCATTTCCTGAAAGAAAATATGTCAATTTCAGAACATCATCATCTCTAAAATGTGTCTTTGAATGCATAAACATGGCAAGCCCATAAGCCTTTCTGAGCTGACATCTGCATTTCCTATTCATCCTTTAAATCTCCCTACATTATTTATCGCCTGATGCCAATACTAAGTTTAGTGTTTATTTTAGGAGAAAATGACCTGTTTCATCCCTCACATTTCGCAAAAATATTCTTTTCGTCCCTCACTTTTAAAATGAAGCAAATTCATCCCTGACATTTAAAAATTAAAGCTATTACATCCCTAAACCTAATTTTCAATTTGAATCAAACCACCCAATAACCTAGTAATAAATTTTGAAAATAGAATTGATAGATCATTCGGTCAATTTCATCATATTCACATGACATTTATTAAACCAAAAAAATAAAAATTATAACATAAAAGGTCATTCTTTATCTTGGAATAGTAGCATTTTTTTTTTGGTAAATCTTTTCATGCACCGTTAGTATGTCTGCTTGCGAATCTAGATGTGTATCATACATATAAAATTTGGTGTTTAAATTTAAATTAAAATGATATGGCAGTACATAAAACTGTCAGTGTATACAATGATAATGTAGAAAAGATTAATCTTTCTTTTTTATGTTATAATTTTTTATTTTTAGGTTAATTAAATTTCACATGAATATCAAGTTGAGTTAACCAAGTGATCTACCAATTATACCCCCGAAATTTGTAATCAGGTTGATTGGTGGTTTGATTCAGATTGAAATTTGGGTTCAGGGATGTAATAATTTTAGTTTTTAAATATCAAGGACGAAATTGGTTCATTTTAAAAGTGAGGGACGAAAAGAATATTTTTGTGAAATGTGAAGGATGAAACCGATCATTTTTCCTTATTTTAGTGTATTTGAGATTGTGTGTTCTTAAAGTTGTTTTTGGAGTTATTTTTGAAATTTGTTAATGTAGATCCCACAAACAAATATAGTTTGTGGAAAAAATAGTAAACCCAAATAAAGCCTATATAAAACATAATTCACCAACAATACACTAGGTAAAAATTATTTCGGATTTTCAATTTTAACGTGTTTATCAAACGTGAGAAGACACTGAGTAGTGTGTATCGACTAGATTGGAGATCATGTGAAATATTTACTGTAGCATGTATTATGATGTGATACACGTGAGATAAAAAAGTAGTTGAAAAATATGTTTGTGATGCAAGCAAATAATTTTTTGCAAATAATGTGATATCCAAAATTTAGATAGGAGATAATTTGAAAAAAATATTTAAAATAATATTGTGGCACTTTTGTGGTTTGATATATGTGAATAAAAAGATGGTTAAAAATATAAAAATTTAGTTGAAAAATGTGATTATAATACAAGTCAAATAATATTGGGAATAAATGTTTCATATCCAAATAGACCCAGTTGATCTTGATTGGGAAAAAAATGTACATTTCAGATGACAAGCTGTAAATCTATTTTAAGAACACGTGTAGGGCTTATAAAAAAATATGCTAAGTTGATATTATGTTCAAGTTCATTTACATTCTGAACGTGAATATATTTAATAAAACGCACGAAACCATTCCGAGACCGTTACACATTTACACTAGTAATCATCCCTATCTTATGTCTATTTTTTACTATGTAAGTGCACATATTCACATTTACTTTTCCTTGCATCTAGACTCTTTTTCAAGTTAATCTCCCTTTTGTTAAAAAAAATATATACTATTTTAGATCTGGCACCTGTTAGCTAAACTCTTTTATCAATTGAAAGTATTCAACATAGCACAGAGATGAAACCTATAGAATTAGGGATAATTTCAGAAACCTCCCCTGAGATTTGAAAAATTACACTTACCTCCCTTGATTTGATAGTTTTAGTAACAAAATCTTAAAATAATACTGATTTGGTCAATTTTATAAATGAATACCCAAAAATGCTCTTGTGTAATGAGTTTTAATTTATTTCCTTATACAATTATAAGATTACCTAGTATAATTATAAGGAAAAGGGGCCAAATTTTTTATGTCCATACCTAGGAGTGGCAATGGGGCGGCACCCCGTCCCCACCCCGTTTCCCCCGCGGTCCCCCGCGAGGAAAGATTAGAAACTTTCAGCTACTAATTCCAAGCTAAGATTAGAAACATGAGTTTACAATATACATGATCATACCAGTGTAACATGATTTCTTGTCCAGGTATCAATGAGTATCCAGTAACATAATGCACACTAAAGCATGTAACAAGGAAGAAATATTACCTGTAACTCACCCCGTCCAAGTGATGGCTTCAATAAATTGGCAATATCAAGACCAGATCCCTTATTGCCTCGTCCTACTATCCCAGAACCAATAAGTGTGTGGACCTCATCAATAAAAACAATGACATTGCCTGCAATGCTATCACAACAAGTTAAACCACAGTAGACGACTTACTTCAAATGCACCAAAAAGAAATGGGCACACCTGACTTTTTGATATCCTTAAGTAATGTAGTGGTCACGCGTCCTTCCAGCTCACCTCTCTCCTTTGCGCCTGCAATTAATTGAGTAGTGATTAGAACTAAGGGGAATGGGAGGCGACGGCGGTGGCTGCGAAGGAGGGAACAAAGGAGGAAGTGAGGGGAATAATAAGGGGTTTTGTTACTTTTGTATATATAAACATATATATATATGTGTGTATATATTTTTTTTATGCGGGGGATGGGACGAGTGTATGTTGCCCCATCCCCCGCCCCGTTTTAAGGCGGGGGTAAATATTTTGCCCCAGCCCCATTTCTACCCCCACGGGTACCCGTCCCCATTGTCATCCCTATCCATATCTATTATTTGATAAACAACTATAATATTAAATTTATCACCATTATAGGATACTTTTGATGGTACTTTATTATGGATTTAGATTTATATGATAGAAAAGAAAATGTTGAAATAATTCATTTAGAGTTTATGAATTTTTCGGGTAGTGGGATTATCATAATTTGGTAGTGATTTTGGGCCATTTCTTTTTGATTTATTGTTAATTTTAGTACCAAAAAATAGAAAATAAAGATCAACAAAAACATTGAATTACACATAAAATTAACTCTTCAAAAAAATCATTAGTTCGACATTTGATTACAATAGAAACTAGAAGCAATAGCGGCAGTTCTACGGTTTTATTGAAAAAAATTTTAAAAAGGAATAAGAAGGAAAAAGAATGAAAAAAAATTTTTTAAACTCATTCTAATTATAAGCATACCAAATAAGGGAATTTCATTAAAATATTTAAGGGTAAAATTGTCATTTTAAATGACAAGGGAGGTATGTGTAATTTTTTAAACCTCAAGGGAACTCAGTGAAATTATTAGAAACCTCAGGGGAGGTTTTTGAAATTATCCCAAAGAATTAATACCTCAAATATTTCTTAACACAGAGAAAACCTTTTATGAATTGAATGTATTTAGACGTAGAAAAGAGATCAGATCCATCAAATGTTTGCAATTGAAGTCAAAGCATTATAATAATAATAACTATTGATCTAAAACTAGACGAGGGATCGAGAAGTTTGTCATTTCCTTCCGATTTGAAACAGGAAATTAAGGACTATGAGGTGAACTGACGAAGATTTGTACGTTTAGCAATTTCAGACTGGATGTGTCATATTGGATGTGTACGTTTAGCAATTTCAGACTGAATGTGTCATAGGACTATTGGCATTGTTTGGAATGGCAGGATTTGGAGGGATTTGCTTTTGTTTTGGGGTAGGGGTCCTAGAGGAAGAAGCGTAAAACGGTCCTATCTGATATTGGGATTCGGGAAAAGAATTGATAAGGTTGCTAAGCAAAGGACCAGGAGTACAATTTTGCTGCAAAATGGAATGTTGTTTTCCAAAAAGACTTCATTTAAATTGTGGTGTCATGGATCAAATGTACTTTTGTCACTACTACATGGGGTCAGAATGAGTGAATTTGTAAGTTAAATTGAGCTAATTTACTTTCTTCTCTACTAAACTTTTCTCCAAGAAATGCACAAGAAAGGATTAATGGTCATAGTAGGCTTTGAGTTTTGTGATTAGAATTGAAAAAGCAAAGTAGATTTGACGGTATAACTAATAAATGTGTACTACTTTTGTTGAATACTTCCAAGTTCACATTTTTGGCTGAATCTTTTGTAAAGATTTGCTGACCATCTTTTTTTTTTCCAACTTAATAGCTCCAAAAAAAAAAGAAGCTTTTTTCCAACTTAGTAATGCTCATTTGGTACTTCCAAAAAGTTCATATGGTAGTGCTGCATGTTGATACATAACGATTAATCTTTTTTATACTTAATAATATATACAGTATATACACTATCAACGTTGAAAGAATAACAATTATATATAATTTAAATTTAAAATTCAACTTTTATACATATGTCATGGATCCAATGGTAATAATATATGCACTGTTAGTGTATATTAGATTTACTCAACACTACATAATATTGGCCAAACTGTTATAAGCTACGACACTAATCAAAGCAAAATATCAGCTCCTAAAATTAAACATATAGTTTGAAAGTTAATAAATGTGGTGGAGGAATTCTTTGGATTGCAGATTTCTAAAGAAAAATTGTTATGTTTTTCGTAAACACATTTTTCAATCACTTTTTTGCCTCTTATATATCAAATCGTTATAATAATTTTTCTATAAAAAGTCCAAAAAAATATAATCCAAACACAACCGTTGCCATACCCATACAATTGTGACTTGACACATAAATGGAAGTCTCAAGCAACCCTATGAAATCGAATCTTAATTCAAGAACCCACACTGCATCTATTGAGACTTGAAAGATCTTGGCCATATCATGGAACCTGCTGCTCTCGCAATCTAGTTGCTGGATTTTTCATTTGTTTAGTACATCAATTGAAATCGCTTTATTGGCTACAAGCAGGAAAATTCTGCTAAGAGAATAGTGAATATACCGCCGTAGCTTTAAATAATCTAACAGAACCAGCCACAAAGGAACAATTGTAAGATGACTCCAATTCAATTCACAAGGACTTGTAAAAAAGTTCCACTGGTTTACTTTGCAGAGCAAAAAAGTTGTGCAAACACAAATGGAACTACGGTTTGAGTGAAGAAGGCAAATCAAGAAAGAAAAAAAAAATTACATCCCATTATAATTTAGCTTGAATTCTGTTGTAAAATATGTTAAATGCGTATCTTCTCCTTTGCATTCCTTTTTGGCTGATTTCCAAGTTCAAGGATTATAGTACTTTTCTGTGCCTGGATATCCCTGTTGCTTCTCATATTCTCCCACGGAATCAAACTCATACTTGGACTTTTCACCGTTACCGTAGTAACCTTCAGCATTGCTATTTTCCTTCACTGATTCATACCCATTTTGATTCAGATTCTCATTGTTAACATCATAATGGTACTTACCATTCTCCAAGAACCTTGTGTCGCTCATCCCTTGTTTCTCATTCCTGTAGCTATTGCTATATCCATTGTTGTTATTGTAGACTGAATTCGAATAGCCATTGCTGTTGTAATTGTTGGAGTAGCCATTATTGTTGTAGTTGTTGGAGTAGCCATTGCTGTTGTAATTGTTGGAGTAGCCATTGCTGTTGTACCTGTTGGAGTAGCCATTATTGTTGTAGTTGTTGGAGTAGCCATTGCTGTTGTAATTGTTGGAGTAGCCATTGCTGTTGTACCTGTTGGAGTAGCCATTATTGTTGTAGTTGTTGGAGTAGCCATTGCTGTTGTACCTGTTGGAGTATCCATTATTGTTGTAGTTGTTGGAGTAGCCATTGTTGTTGTAATTGTTGGGGTAACCATTGGAGTATCGATTCCCGGCATTGTTTTCCGCGAGCCTTTCGTTGTTGATTTCCTCAACCGGAATTTCATCTTCCTCATTGCCAAGGGCCGTGGTCGTGGTCTTTTTTGTAGGAGAAACAGTAGAAACACCGCCATAGAGGCCATAGGGATGGTCAGTACTCTCAATTGGTGCTGGTGCTGGTGCCGGAACTTCTAGATATGTGGGTGCAAAGCTAATCTCACTAGTTATAGGGGCTGGTGCTGGTGCTGGAGAAATTGATGGTGCTAGCACTGGTGCTGCCACTATAGGGACATGCTTGCTTACTCTAGCCTCAGTATGAACAGAGGAAAGAAGGAGAACAAGCAAGAGAATGGAGACGTTTTTAGCCAAGGGAGCCATAATGGAGAAGGACGGGAAATGGTTGAATTTGTTGTTTGGCTCTGAAATTTCAAGATCCCAAATGCATCCTTTTATAAATAGACAAAGTGGGGTACTCTTCTCTCTTTTTCAGCCGTGATGATTTGCGGGGATTGAGGGATGCGAAGAATCTGGGCATAAGAAATTATAGCTTTTGGGACATGCTGCATGTGGAATCCTTGAGAATGTCTTTCACAATTGAGGCGCCTAATCTTCGGCCACGAAAAAAGTGTCATTAATTAGTCAAAAGCTGGCATTTTCTCATGGGATGCTTAAAGAGAAAGTGATGTTGCTCAAGCTTGCAACATCATAAAATAAAGAGGAGGGCCCCTGCCGCCAATTTTGCAGTTGAGTTAGTTGAAAGGGCTTATAGCCTGACCATATTTTAAGGGGAAATTCTTCTATATGTGCCATTGAGCATATAGTAGTCATGCACCGGAAGACTTTTAAGATTCTTGATCATCTAATCCAGCAAGAACAGGCGGAGGAGATACAGGTTGTATAGCTGGATAGAAACACATCAGATGGCTCCATAAAACCTTTCGACAACATTGCATGGTTGTCCACTATTTCAAAATGCAGTATGTGGTGGTTTTCAGTTCAGTAGAGAAACTGGAGCCATCACGAGGAAAGACCTGCATTAGCTGGTAGGGGGAATTTTGATGTTATGAAAATACAGGGTATGATGAATTCATGTTTTGGCAGAGAACTAGAGATATTACGAGGAAAGACCAGCATTGGCCGGTGGCGAAATTTTGAGATAATTTTGATGTTAAGATTGATTTACAAGTCTTTCAAGTTTTATTGTTGACTAAACATCTCATCTTCTTTTGATCATGTCCTCGTTTCGTTAAGAAGGGATGACAGAACGATTTTTTCCCCGTTCGAACTCTTTTTAAGGACCAAGTGCAACAAACTTAAGTTCCTAACAAGCAACGGCGATTTCACCTACGGTTACATTCCATCAAGAAGTTATACAAAGGCCAAGTAATTTGCGAAATCGTCTAAAAGATTCTATTTCAAAGAGAAATAAATCGATAATCGTACACATTAGATGTACAAAAACTTTTTCTCTTGAAGGTACAGAAGAACAGTTTAACAAGAGTGCTTTTCTGCTCGTAACTTTGTAATTAACCCCCCAAAGCTGAGGAATAATTTGTGGCAGTCTCCCACTCCCACCTCCGTAATGAATCAAAACTTGATGCATTGCAAAAACTTGGGAGAAGAGAAGGCAGATAAAGTGGTCTACCTGAGATCTACTACTGATCATCTCTATACTCCGGATTCTCTTTTAAGATGACAAAACCCTCGAGAATGGGTGACAGCGGAATGTATCTGCACCAAAATTTGATATCAGCACAACCAAATGTATGTATACCAGAATAATGAGTTGCATAGGGAAAAGAATTTACTTTTCAGTTGCAAGCTCTGCTCTATCCCCAGCAGAGAGGAGGACGGGGGTTGTGTGCGTCTGGAAACCTGTTATGGTCTTAGGCCTGCCTGCTTGGCCAACAACATCTACTGCTTGACCCACTCGGACAGGTACAGGCAAAGCCTTCAGATTTTCATCAACCGTCATCAACATCCTTGGCTGTCAATGGCAGAATAGAGGAAGTAAGAACATAGGATCGCTCAAGAAAAGGAATAAATATCACCGTTCAAACAATCAATTTTTTTTTTGTTGGGTGGGGAAGGAAGGAACAATCAGATATACGAAAGAGATTTAATACCTGCATGGCTAAAACAAGGAAGTATAGAATGTAGTGGTATTTTCCGAGGATGACAGCTTTCATATCAAGACATGCATGTAATAAAGTCACTAGTCCAGCCAGCGCAGTACTATAGACAGGATGCAAATAAGAAATTAGAAGACTTCACAAAACTGGAGCAACTATCTACATCTGAAAGAGCAAAAGGGGAGTAATAGACTTACGGAGACAACAAGAACCGTTCCGAGTGATATGGGGAGAGTGTCAACAACCCCTTTCCTAAGTGGACAAGACCTTGAGCAATCCTCACCTGCCAATGGGCCAAAAGAATCATTAGGTTGTCAGGAATATGCTAGTCAGCATGCACTTATCTAGGAAATGAAGCATACACAGAAGAGAAGACTCGGTTCTTTATAGTAGTAGCTTGACAAATTGCGAAGCATGCCAGCTATTCTAGCATTGTTGGTTCCTGCACCTATCAAACCCAGAGAAACGATAGCAGCCTACATAGTTCAAAAAAGAGTTCTAAGATAAGGAATCATATACTGAAGCAAAGATGAAAACTTCATAAGATGATTGAAAAACATAACAAGCTTGTCTAAACTACCATAGCAACTTCAGTGTCAGAATCATGACTGAGTCTGCTTAAAGTGTCCATGACATTGACCTATTGACACGAGCCAAAGTCAGCAAGGAAAATATAGATAAAAGGAGGCATCTGAAAGACAAAGTAGCCTCTTGGTATCTTGATAATTACTATGACTAGCATAAGTCATGAGATTAAAGTACCTTTGGATTTGATATACATAGAAGACCCAAAGCTAGAGGAACTGCCTTTCTAATATTCTGCTCACCATACTGTAAAAGATGCTCTAAGGACCGGATTGCCATTTCAAGGCCCAGCTCTTCAGCCATTGCTACCATAGCTATTCCAAGTACAGCGGGACCCTGGAAGGTCTCACCCTTCTCAAGATGTTGAGCACATTGACCGAGGAAGTGTTGGACCTATATAGCAAGGATAAAAATGCCATTACATAGTGTAACAAACAACCACTAGCTAACCATGAAATTGCAAATCAGGGATTTTAGTTCAAAACCTTTAGGACATTCCCAGTTCCAGCATAAGCACAAGAAAGCAGTGTCATGTCACAATGCTTCCGGATTTTTTCATTAAAGGTCTTTGAAACCTCAGCTGTAGCCTCCACACTTTCCTGTTAACAACAAAAATTTGGATCCCAAAAACTGTTTAAACAATATAGTAGGACTTATGCAAATGACCGATCTCAATCAAATGGAACAGCCCTATAAAGCAGTAGATAAGACGTGCATACTAATAGGTGATTCAAGAAACTTATCTATTTCAAACAAGCTGAATATAACAACAATTTCCTTGCCTGTTTCCCAAGGTAGAGGAGCCCAAGCCCAAGAGGCAATAGGCGTGTGAGTGGTTCACCTAATTCTGATTCGCTTCGGTCCATCAACGCAAATATAATTGCCTGGGCAATATCTTCATTACAAGAGCCCACATATACCAAGCCCAATGAGATTGCAGTAAATGCAATCACATCAAGGGATGCCTTTGCATCATTCAGTATAGGAATTAGTTTACTCCGGATCTGCAAGAAGATACAAAAGATTCAAATTCAAGTAGTCATGTCTTGCCAGCAAAAGATACAAATAAGACAGCACATCCAACTCCACGTACTTTACCATGGCTGTTAAAAAACAAAAGAATAGATTTCCATCTTGGAAGGTCCCAATCTAAAAGTCCATTAATCCAATATAAGAAGACAAAGGAAGCTCACCTGCTCGCTTTGAGCACCTGCATATGCAAGTCCTAGGCCCATTATAGCACCAATTCTAGTAGCAGGATCCTCTCTGTCAACATATTCAGCTAGAAGTGCCAAAGCCTGAGATTAATAGTTAATGCAACATGTTAGAAGCAGCCTTTAATGAAAGAATACTCCACACCACCAGGGTAAAGAGGAGGGCATGGGGTGAAGAAAACTTACAGGATCGCAGTCATTCTTGACACCACAATTTACAATGCCAACTCCTAACAATGCACCCGCGATGACTGGTGTGTCGGTGCTATGGAAGTACTTGTCAATTTGAGCCAATCCAGAATCAACGTCCCAAAGAAGGATCATACCCTAAAAGTCAGGGAAGAATAACATTCATATTGTAACTGAGTGATAACCAGAGAAGAGCTAAGATGAAAGTAAACTGGCATACCAGACTTGCTGCAGCGCTAGTCTTTCCATGTTCCTTATTTTTGTAAAGCCAGTTTGTGGAAGAGCTACCACTTGAAGCTTCAGATGGTACGGTCATCAACTTATCCTGCATGTGAAAGCATTGAAATTTATTCGACATAAATACAAGCAGTTATCCATTTTACATATTGACAAAGCATGCTCTTACCTGACCAAAGCCAGCATTGACGAATGCATTTACAAATGTTGCAGCAAGATTCTGTCTTGCTGAATCCATGCTTGCCCCAGCACTGGCCCGACCATCAAGTAAATGAGCCTTGTAAATGTCTTCAGGAGATTTTGGCTCCATGACCTCTATATCACGAGCAAGTGTAAGATAGCCTTCACTTAACTTAGAGTTATTGATAATTTCTTGTAGTCCCTCCCTCTCTTCATCGTCTGCACACATCTCTTCATCAAGCTCAAAAGTTATGCCCTGCAATCAAAGCCAACAGAAGCACATCTAAGGCAAGAACCTTCCACATATTTTTTGTACAAAAATAATCAATATGACACAGCTACTCAGAATAGTTCATTATCTTAAAACAATCAATTGCTAAAAAAATTTCATCAACCCCAATAAAAATGGTCAATGGGCCAATGGCATGATATCTCTTGGACAAGCAAGAGAAACCCCCGGTACAGAGACAGGTCATCCATTAGACAATTGAATAACTTCTCATACAGAGCCAGATATGTTAAAACCAAAAAGCATCCAATACACTCAAACTCCATTGATGTAACAATCTTTCACTACAAAAGAAACATCTTATGGGCTTACATGGCGAGCAAGAATGTAGCAAAATTGCTTTTTCTGCAGAAGGTCATGGCAAGTCATAAAGATCTGCTTGACATACTGCAATGGCAATGTCAAAACATAAGATCAAAATCAAACCATAAAGTAAAGATTAGAACATTAACCATAACAAAGAGCATAATATCGTGATAAGCAAACCTGCATGTTATCTAGATACAAAGCTATCTGAAGTGCTCGAGGAAATTCTTCAAATTTCATATAAATCATGTAGGCGATATCCAAAACTAAGGTGTCATCCGGTCCAGGAAGGTATCTGCCAAA